AATCGAAAATGAAACGATTTGATTGGATATTTTTAATTGAAATTCCTTTTTTTTATTCATGTTCAGAAAATTCTTCAATTTGTCTAAAAAGACGCTTTGATACAAAACCCTTCAAACACGATTAATAAAAGAAAAAAAGAAAATCAAATCGAATATTAGTTCATTTTAGTCCAGTGATTGATTTTAATCAATTAAAAACCTTTATGTTTCACCTGAGTAAATACAAACTCAAAATGATTAGATTAAATTCAAATTATTGTTATAATATAAAAGTCAAATAAAATTAATAAAAAGGAGAATAGATGAATTTTTACTTTGAAATATTTAGTACTAATTACAATATCGATGATAAAATTAAATCTAAATTACAGGTATTTTATGTATCTTGTGAACTAATATATATTAACATTTTGATTAGAAATCATTCAAAAACTTAGAGAATTGTCTTAAATAAGACTGTATTACATCCTATGAAAATATTAAAAGAGATTTCCATGTTTATTCTATTAATCATAATTATCAAATGAATGAATGCTTTTTTTTCTAAAATTTAATCTGAACCAATTGAGATGTTCTGTAATGTAAGAGATACAAACTGTTAGAACTTGCTTTTCTATACACCCGGTAGAAATCATAAATATAGAATATCATCTTTTTGATACAATTACAAAAATAGTAAATGCATAATTAGGATTATAATCTCACAGGAAAAATTTGCTATTAAAAATTCTCTAGTAAATATATTTCATCATTAACTCGTGTAAACTACAGATTTTTAACAACTAAAACAGTACTTTACATTTACATTGAAGTGAAATTTAAACTACAATTACTCTTAGATAGTTGAGGCATAGTTGTAGTTACCTACTGATGTGAGTAACTGCTTGATGCATTTTGGACTCTAACGTCTTCTTTGGAAAATTTTAAACTTATGTAAATAAACCGGATGCTATGATCTTTAGCCTAGGAAAAATTAATAACTTTGTGCAATGTGAAATTATATGACTAGTGATGATTACATTGTCTTCATATATTCAATTTCGAGGTAAAATGTCGAATTATAATTAGAATAATTATATATTTGTAAACAATCAATGAAATTATAGCTAGGAGCAGATAATAAATATAAATGTATGTTTTATTGACTTTATGATATGCTTTATGATTACCATGGTTAACTTTGATAAAGATAGTTAATCTGAAAAAAAACCGTTTATTCTCATATATATGCATGTGAAACTTTGACAAATCAAAAAACTCATAAAATGTTGATATCATTTAGAACAAAAGTACCAAGGGTGTAAGAGACAAAAATTAACGGAGTTATGTACAAAATATAACTTGAAATTTGATATAATTGTATGATTGAGAGCTTTCTATAACGATCATGAATGTAATGTAAAAGTTATTTGAAAAACTAAATTATACAAAACTGGTCAAATTTTACGTAATGTTCTCATAAATGAATTTATTGAATAAATGACTGAGATTAATACAATTTCTATTAAATTAAACAAATTTTGATATCTACCAACATAGATTTATTGATATAATTGAAATTCAAGAGTTTTGATTAATTTGATTATACATTTTAGAAAACTGAAGGCGTAAGTATATATAGAATGTTCACTGATTAGTCTACACTTATGAAAGTATTTTACAGTAGATAAACGCGAAATTCAGATTCGTATGTGTTAATTCATAACCAGTTACTAATAAAAAGTAATTCTCAACCGCTCGTAAAAAATGGTTTAAAACATGATAATAATTATTTATGTTATTTGTATATTGACTTTCTCTTGCGTCTCTTACACCTAAATCGAATAGTGTGGCCTCAATATTGTTCTTTCTTCTTTTGTTTGTATTCATCTATGTAGTCTTTTATACATGCAATTGTTCTTGTTTGATAAGAGCATTTGATGTCAGCAAAATATAGCATTAAAAAACATTTACATTTCAGAAAAAGAATTAACTAGAAAAAAAAATGTGACAGATAGGAAAAATGAAGTGTGGTACCTTTGGAAAGTAGCGAGAATATCGATAAAGGTATTCATTTCATTTATAGTGATCAACGGCTAAAATCGTCAATATAAATTCCATAAATTAGATGCTAAAATAAGTCTGAAAAACTTGTGCATGTGCGTCTTTAGATGCTCGTCGATTCTTTTTGCACAACAACACCCTCTGGATCTTTTAGAGAGAATAATAATATTGATTATAATGTTAAATTAAGAAATTCAGAAGAAAGTGCAAAGTTAAGAACAAATATAATAGAAGTAAAATGTTTTTGGTTGTTAATGTATCAAATCTTATAAGGATACAATGGAATTTCTATTTCTTGAGTAGTATCTCAATTTAAAGTTGAACTTAATTAACTACTGGTAAAGGTTTGCTGTTCGCGAAGTCAAACGGTCTCGTATGTGATCACTAGTTCATTATATGTTTGTTTGATAAATATTTGCATTCAATATACTTATTATTTTCATCATCAGAAACTAGATTCAGATAAAATTTTTTGATTGTGGCAAAAAAGACGAAGTGTGGGTATTCTTTGTGAGTTTCTTCTCCTCAACAATATCTACACTCTCAAGCATGAGAATACTCTATAAATTAGTATCAGAATTTTCAATAGTAATCATATAAAGAAGCGTTAAAATAGCATCGAAAACTTCGTAGTGTTGAGATCTATGGTTTTACATAAAATCCATAACGAAGAATCTAAGAAGAACCAGTTAACCGATTTAGTAATTTTATGCGTCTCTATCTTTTAGCCAAAATTTTCGAAAATCAATGACTATCAGAATCTAAATCAAATACTTCAATATTTTGATACACTCTGAAATTACAAAACATTTATCGTAAATGTAATTATTACAAACAAATTGATTGATCAAAAATATGTCAGATGATTAATTGTATACAAAATTAGGTATTGTTTGCCATATTTCAATTGATTTATATTTTGAATTAACAATAAAAGTTTTTAAACAAATATTGTAAAATTTCTCAATAAAATTTGAACGATTGTTTTTATAATGTTTTTTTTCCTATTGCATTTTAAACTGTCAACAACTATCCAATTATACAAAGCTAATTAAATTATTATTAACATTTGACATTATAGATAATAAAAAATGTTCATTGAATATAATGAAAATATTTATTACGTGCGTGTGATTTTCTAATTTATTTTTCATTCGTTTTAAGAATTTCCTTTTTCTAAAATACATTCGTTTATTCTCCCATATTTTCATTCATCATTGGGTTTGAATAAAATTATCTTGTTTGTATATGACGAATATCAAAAATGTAATTATGAATTTTTATCTGTTTAATAAAAATCTTTAGAAAATAACGAAATAATCTCAATAGAAAATAAACATTTGAGTCACAAGTAACTGATATGAAATCCAGTAAAATTTTGAGAATCAACTTAGTAACTATTAAAAAGACCGAATTTTAATTTTATCCACCTAATATTGGATCTAAAAATTGGGAAAGCACTCCATTTTTGAATTAGATTTCAGAAATCGCATAATTTCTGTACTGATTAGGGCATGGATATGGGTTTAACATTGTTAAAGATTCACACCCACACTCACGCATTATTATTTTAATAAAAATAGTAAATTTATATGGATAAATTGCAACATTATTGTACCGTTTTGACAAAAAAAACAAGCAAAAAAAGAATTTCGATTCGAAAGCTGATCAGTCATCTTTTTAACTGTACTATAAGATTTTTTATTTTGCATGTATCTCGACGTAGGTAAATGGTAAACTCTGGAATCTTTTTTCAAAAGATATGCCTTGAAAAGTTCTTTAAGAAAGCTAATAATAAATTTCAATTGACTTGTATCAATGGTTTTTTCCATACTCGAAAGGATAGACCTATATGAAATTGGTTTGTTCCAACTGATAAATATATACTAATTACTGACGTTTTAAAACATTTTGAAAAATCTGTTTCTGATATTACTTATTAAGATAATAGCTTTATTTTACATAAGGGTATGGGTATGAGCTGTTTAACTGTTGAATATGGTTTTATTTCTTGTCACTCTACAACCACATCCATCCTTGATTTTTGTATGGTTAGATGTAGCTTGAAAAGCTATGCAAGATGAGATAATGAAATTTCCAAGACTTCATAACTGGAAACCAGATGAGCGTCAAAACCGGTAAAACTACATATTTTTATCCCTATTTTTGTTCATGTTTCATGATCTTGAAGATAGTAGAATTCCAAACTTCAATAAAAAATATATCTCATAATTCATCGTACTTTATAGGAAACCTAAGAGGTTATCAAACAAAACTTGAATAGACTCTATCGTTATAGTTGTTTTTAAGACAATCTCATTTTACGACTCATAGTGAATTTATGAATAAAATGACATCATGATTAAGAGAGTGAAAAAAGTTGTCAGGAAGTCACTTTTTGAAAGATTTGAAACCGTAAACCAGAAACATATTTTTCTCTAGAAAAAAAAACTAGAGAAATATCTATTGAAATGATTTAGCAATGCTTCAACCACTCAAAAAGCATAATCAGCTGTTAGCTTACAACTCCGTAATCACAAATTTTTAATGTACTTATCTATTGAACAATGGAAACGGCAAGTTTTCCCATGCGTTCTATTTCGTGTGGATTTTGACAAATTGTGAGCCATTGAAAGTGGAGAGGTGCGAATGGGGTGTCATAATGAGCTTTCACTTAGATTTTTCCGCCAAGAATGAAGTATTTATCAACTTAGTCATAAGCCAGGAATAATTACTTGCGCGAAGAAGTCTTGCAACTGCTTTTTTTCAACACATGACTCATGAAAAATATGAAGATGTACGTCTTATATTTACCATCTCACGTACATCCACTTGAACCGCTTAATTATTTTGTGTTGAAGGATGAACAATATTGAAGTGCTTCAATATCAGAATAATAAAAGTGTAATGGTAAGATTATTAGGAAAAAAAAAAGATATGTCACTCAGAATCACTTTTTAGTTATTGACATAATTAATGCCGATAAGTATATGTTGTATAAACATGTCCCACGATGAATCGCTCAATTCTAATTGTTTACAATAGATACCATAACGTTGACTTGTGTGTTGATAAAATTCGATAGCTTTATTAATCTGTTCGCTCATATTAGTAGGTAATTGATTGCAGAGATAAACCTTAATAACATAGTGAAAGTAAGATGAACATCAAAAAGATCGGAAAAATCAATTCACTTTGATTTGTTCAATGTTAAATAAACATTGACAAGTCATTTGTTGTAAAGTTTGCATTTAAAGAACGAGCCAAAGAAGAATGACACCCGTACCGATTAAACGAAGAATTTCGTTTTGTATGTTCAAAGCTAAGAAAATTAAAGTTCATGTTTCTGTAATGAATCATACAATTTTACCGAGTGAATTAAAGCCTTGTTTACGTAAATATTGTTCTAGACCATTGAAAATTTCAACATTGACATGAAGTATATCAGCTAAATCTTTATTCAACGTAAATGAACCATCCTATATTCCAAAAAAATGCAAAACAATGAATCGATAATAAACTTTGAAAATGATATTACGTTAGATTGAAGTTTGATGAGTTCTTCAATCATTGTTCTTGAAGATCGAATATTTTTCAGCTTAATTAGAAGTGGAACTTCAGTTGGTTGACCTAAATTCATATATTATTGCAGTATATCTTTCAAACAACAACAGAGGACAAATTACCCGATGAGAAAACAAGTTCACCACAAAAGTTACGTGTTAAAGATGTAATTTGACCATCGAGCTGATAAAAGACAGGAAAAGTAAAAAATCGAACTATCAAAAAAATGTCATAATACGAACTAAGTACAATGGATCACTGGGTTTACGATCATATACTACAAAATAACAATAGTTGAATATTATTTATCATTTTTTTCACACTGACCAGATTTAGCTGAAAAATTTGTATCCTTTGCTACGTATGTAATATGTTGCTCAATATCATCTTTGCTCAATCCTAGATAAATATAAATGGTTTTTATTGATGATATGAAACATCTAAGTAATCGTCGAACTTTGCTGAGTGGGTTCCAATGTAAATGAAGCTTTTGCACCTGAACGTGCTTCTTCAGCATCGACACGAAGTATCCCATTGGCATCGATATCCATACGAATAGCGATGACGAGTGTTTGAGCAACGAAGTTGCTGGTTAAGTCAGACAGACTAAATTCGCCTAATAACGTCTAGAACAAAGACGGCTAGTAAATAATATTTATAGATTTAAAACACTACATACATTGTATTTTGTGATCTACTCCTTCTGGATGTGTGCCCACTTGGTCTGGGCATCGAAGATATAAACGGTGAGATGCACACGCTAATTCGTCGTAATACAGTTATTCCAACGCGAACTGAACTTTATCCAATATTTACAAATGCTTATGCCTATCAGCCCACAGCTACTATTCGTATATTTGAANCTAGGATGGGGGGGGCGCGTGGGGGGGGTGGGGGGGGGGGAGGAGCCGCAAAACCTCGATTTAAAACTTACACTCACTATTTTCTTCGAAAATATATGTGAGTTCCACAAAAGATATACGAATATGGAAGTTTGATTTAAATGTACTATCTAAATATTAAACAAATTACATCTGAAACTTATAAAGATTTACAGAATTCAAGTAATTCAACAAATATGGATGATCATGGTTTTCAAAAAAATGATAATAAAAGATTCTCGTAAAACGAAACATATCACATGAATCTTTCCTGATTCTTTTCCTAATTGTTCGATTTGTATCAATGTAAATAAATAAGCAAAACAAAATGAATCATTTTGAATCTTTTAAACGAGATTTTTTCCTGCATGTTGGCTATAGATGGGTCGAATTATTCTTTTTTATAGCAACAAGTATAATCACTTTTCAATTAAACTCACTTGCAACAAATCGATTTTCATACTGTTCTATTTTATGGCAATATATTAAATCAGAACGTGATTCCACTCATTATATTATTGATCGTATTACATCGAAATAAAATGACTAACAACAATTATTCGAACGATCTGATCATTATATACTGGTGTTTTCGCTGTTAATTGTTATTGTCGAACTAAATCTGATGTACTAAAATCAACAAGTTTTACTTCAAAAGTTCCTCGTTCATTTTGAGTGTGAATATGTGTAAATAAAAAGTACACCTACACCCACACCGTCCATTCAAGTAGTCTTTGTGTGTGATTATATTTCTGAATGAGTCGAGGACAAGAAAGGATAGGAATCCACAGTTCTCACTATTCGAAAAAATGATGCAGAGAGGATCTCTCAGCGTAAGACCTATTAGGTCTTAAGAGTCATTTTATGGCTGCCTCTGATTCCCATTCTACTTCACAAAATGTTCAATTTTCACTATAAAAAATGTGTTCAAAGCCACCCTATATTCCTAAAAAAATTATTATGTTCTTGGAAAAGTCTGTTGAAGAAAAAAATTGAAAACATGACTAAAAATTTTATCATCAATATTGGATGATTTCTGATAGACTTTTGCATAATTTGAGTTGAAATTCTTATGAAATCTGACGTTAAAAAGACAGCAAAGCAACTGTCAGCTTCAAAGTTGCTATAAAAACATCATTTCATTCTATTGATCTTACACAGATGGATGCTTCCGATATCACTCTTTCGAATACAGACAAAAATGGTTCTTCTCAATTAAAATAAGATTCAGAAATAATACATCTATCTTGATTTCAATTGAATCTTATTAAAAGGCATTGCTTCAATATTATGCAATAGTTGAGCTGAATTATCTGATTTGTTCAACATAGTCCCATAAAATCTGAAATTTTCTATTCACAATATTTTAAGAGTACAAGAACTGGATGTGAATAAGAAGTGGGATTGAACTCTAGCATTACCATAATGACCAAATGTTCCCGGAGCTAGTGACATAAAAGCTTGATCAAAAGACATGAAACCCATGCCAAATGGAGTAGAAGATGTATTGGACTCGATCGCATGTTGTGGCATGTTCGATTTAGTTGCTTTCTGTACGATTTATTCGTCGATTAATCGTTTGTATTATCCGTTATCGATCTCACTGATGAGTGATGTGTAGAGCTTTGCCAGTGATCGAGCATTAGTGATTCCATTTACAGCTGATATTTCTGCTCGGTGCGTCCGAGGTTCGTTGAGAAAGTTAAACGACATTAACATGGATCCAGTTAGTATTATTTTTACATTTAGATCGAGAACGTGTTGTGATACACGATATTGTTGTTCTGATGGTAGGCCAACATAAAATTCAATATCTATTTTATCTGCTATGTCATCTTTAACGACTTGACCAAAAGTTCTCTTTTGGGAATTAACGCGCCGCACCAGTTCCTCAGCTAACGAACCCTATGTATAATGTTGATAACTATGAACGGTTTCTAGAGGCCATACTGGTGTCTGTTGCTTTGGTGTATGTACCACCGTTGTCCAAGTAAGATATCGCTCGTCTACTTACTAATCATCCAGCAATCCAGAATATGAGAAAGAATATCTGCCACGGTAATATTCTTCTTTCCGTGTTGTCTATATTCTGGCCAATATTTCGTAACAAACTCTGAATAGTCAAGAAGGCCTCGTTGTACATGAAGAGCAACAACTGTAGCCACTAGATCTTTTGACGTTGAAAAGACGAGCTGTAACTTATTATTGTCGTAAGATTTATTTCGTGATTCAGCAAACTATCCACCAGATAAGTCAACAACTATTTTGCCCTGATGATAAATTGCAATCGATGTACCTAAGTTCCTTTCTTTGTTTTGCCAGTTATTCCTCGAATATTAAAATCGGAACAATGCGAACAAACTACAGTCGAAATAAGAAGAGACCAAATCCAACCAGAGAAGTACATAATCAAGAATGACTCAATAACGATAAGACAGTTTATATGTCATTATCAAAGAGCAATACAAAGTTACTGCACATATCACAAAGTAATCCATAGAAAACTGTTTCTATTTGAATATGTCAACGAAAGATCACTTTTTAGAAAATGTGAGATGCTCAAATCTAAACGACTCGTGAAGACTAAATGAGTGCAAAAACAGTTTTATTATTTGTTCATCGTAAAGGATAGGTAGATTTCATTGCTTCAAATTCATTCAATTACGTTTTGTAATTCTTAAATGACATAAAACAAGCGATTTTTTTTGTGGATTGAGAGTGAATTCAACGTTGATGCAAAGTAGGGTGTGGGTGTGAGTATTCTCTTCATTGTCGACCACACCGGCACTCTGTTCGAAAACTGTCGAATATTAATGAAAAAAGACATAAATTAGCTCTCAAGTATAGAGCTTTGATAAAAGATGTTTCAATAGATATCGAATTTCAAGTTAAAAATAGTGTCATCAGAAAGAGTACAATGGTCTACACATATGGTTCAAAAAATCCACCCGATATATCTATAAAAACTACAATTTCATAAGACTGAAAAAATTATTATGCGAGACAATATGATCTAATTGGAGGGGTATTTGGCAATTATCGATAGAAAAAAAATCGAATATTGGATAGGCTCTTATGGAATTCTGGTAGTAACAAGCATTCTGCATCAAATGAACCTAATTTCAATGATATTAAATCGCATTTTAATGAATTTTCTGGTCAAAAACTGCTTTTTACTGCTTTCAGAGAGTGCTTCAGATCTTTCTTATTATCTGAGTACTTTTCAAAAAAAAAATGCTATATTTGTAATGAGGATACTTAGGCGCTTTCGAGCTATAAAGATATTCTGTATATTTTTGCCGAAGAGTAAGCATATATCCTAGTTATTGACATGATCGTTGCCGATAATTATACGTTGAATAAACATGTCCCAAGATGAATCGTGTAATTCTAATTGTCCACAATATATACCAATACGTTGACTTGTTTGTTGATAGAATTTTATTGCTTTGTCCATTTGTTCATTTATGTTAGCAGGTAAATGGTTGCAAAGATGAACCTTAGAAAGGGATAAAAATAATTAGAATTGATAACGAGAAGTTCAAAAAAGAATCAATTCACTTTGATCTGTTCAATAATAAACAAAAATTGAATTTTATTCTGTTGCGAAGGTTGTGTTTGAAGAACCAACCACATAAGAATAACACCCGTACCAATCAAACGAAGAATTTCGTTGCGTATATTCAAAGCTAAGAAAATAAAAGTTCGTGTCACTATTCGTTAACTACAAATCCTTTAATGTTACCGAGTGAGTTAAAACCTTGCTCGCGTAAATAATGTTCAAGACCATTGAAAATATCAGGATTGATATGAAGCACATCAGCTAAGTCTTTATTTAATGTAAATGAACCGTCCTATATTCACAATTCAAATAGAATATAATAAATATTTAATGAGGTTTCAAAATGATACTACCTCGGATTGAAGTTTGATGAGTTCTTCAATCATTGCTGGTGTAGATTGAACATCATTCAGTTTACTGAGAAGCGGAGTACTAGTCGTCTGATCTGAAATCACATACTATTACAGTATATTTCGTAAATGACAACACGAAACAAATTACTGGATGACGCAATAAGTTCACCAGAAAAGTTGTGCATTACAACTTCAGTTTGACCATCGAGCTAACAAAAGACAAAAAGTGTACCAATGAACTATAAAAAGATGACAGAATACAAACCAAGTATAATGGATCATTGGCTTGTCGATCATAAACTACAAAATAATCCTAATTAAACATTACTTCTCCTTTGAAAACTCACCAGATTTAGCTGCAAAATCTGCATCACTTTGTACATATGTAATATGTCGCTCAATTTGATCTTTTGTCAATCCTAGATAAATTTAAACGATGTTTTTAAGCAAAATATCAAACATCTACTCAATAATTATCCCACTATTCTCACTACTAGGTGCGATAGTAAATGAAGCTTTGACGCCTGAACGCGCTTCTTGAGCATCGACACGATGTATACCATTGGCGTCGATCTCGATACGAATAGCTATTTCAAGCGTTTGAGCAGCGAAGTTACTTGTTAGACCAGTAAGACTGAACTCGCCCAAGAGTATCTACAATAGAGAAGACTATCGAATAAAACTTGCATTTAGAATACTACTCACATTGTATTTTGTGAGATTATGTTCGCCTTCAAATATACGAATAGTAGCTGTCGTCTGATAGGCATAAGCATTTGTGAATACTGGGTAAAATTCAGTTTGCATTGGGATGGTTGTATTACGACGAATGAGTGTATGCATGTGACCGTGAATATCTTCGATGCCTATACCAAGTGGACAGACATCGAGGAGCAGTAACTCGCCGATAGATGAATCGAATGTTGGAACATCTTTCATTTTTGATTCAAAGCTAAATTTTGATTTTATTCTCATTTTAGAAACATCATCAATAGATCAATGACGATTAATAATTAATCGTCGCACGCTTTCTGTGAAATCTTTTACAACTTACTTTACTCGATTTTTAGCCCTTCTACGAATCATATGTTCTAATTCTTCATTTTCCGCTACGTCATTTCGCAGATCATTGTCATCGTATAGCTGCTCCTAGAAATGAATAAAAGTTTCTAGAAAACAATTGTATGTTACTATATGTACTTTGCCGTATCGAAATGACTTTTGCATATTGACATTCCTTTTCTTAGACATCTCGTCGGATCGTACAGCTTTATCGATAGTAAAAGCAGTCAAAGCCATTGTTAGTTTTTCATCGAGCTTACTTTCGTTTGAGCTTCGTGCATCACTCACAGCAACCCGTGTGCTACCATGTTTACCACTGCGTATTGAGTTTTGTGATAACATTTCTATGTTCATGATTCATCCATCGAAATAATGGAAGAATTAGTGTGATTGTAACTTACTGATGTTTGACTTCGCTTGTGATCCTAGTGGAGACGGCATGCAGCAGCCACTACTGCGGGATGCAGATGATGTCGCGTCTCTTGACAGTAATATTGTTGGGGATGATACTTGTGCTGACGATCCGAAGAGAAGAGAAGAAGTAGCCGCACGAAAAGTATCAGCAACACTGTCTAAAAGCAAATCGGATCGTGATGGTAATTTGATACCTACAATGTACATCAATATTGATCATGTTTTATGCTTTAGTGCAATGCCGGAAGAAGAGAAAAGAACTTGCTAGTTGCAGACTAGCAAGAGATCATCGTTCTTTAGTGAAAGATAGTGCATTTATTCTGAATTTTTTATGATTTGTTGACTATTTTTGAGAAAATTATGCGATTACTAAAGTCATGAACGAAAGAAGCATTGTGAAAATATTTTTGTACGATTACTGCTCAAATCTTTGAATAATAAAGCAATGTAGCACGATTCAGTAGATCATATGTCACATCTGCCATTGAAAAAACAGACCATGTATTACGTATTTACATAGTTTGCATTTTGGAATGGAACATTCAACTGCGATATTTGACAAACAAATGTATACATCTCACTTTTATTCATTGATGCGGAAAGTTATCTCGAGATTTTAAGGGTAAACAAACATATTTGACGAAAACTAAATGAATGTGTAACACTATTTTCGTTGATTGCTTCGAGCTGAACTTTACTTTTCATCAAGATAATAATCAAAAGCAAAACTACGAGAAACAAAAACCGTCAACTCTTGATTGTGTAATAAAATCATATTATACGCAATAGATTTAAATGCAACCCCACTTTAATCCAAATGAAGAGACAGTATAGATAAGAAGAGGCTAAAATTGAAATTTTACCTTCACTTGCGATACTGTTAGTGATAGAAGTCTGAGAGAAATGGTGAAGTGATGATAATGATGCTGCTGTTGTTGGAAGACGAGGAGGGAGAGAAGGAGCAGCACCAGTACCAAGTTCAGACTCTAGAAATCCGTATTATATTAATTACGAATAATGACAGCAGCGAGTACAAGAATGAATATGATTCTATTGGCTACTTACCAGAGACAAATGATGATGCGGTGCTAAATAATCCATCAACTGTACTGGCGTTCTGATCGAGACTAAAATCTAACAAAGAATAACAGTCATATTGCATGTAGTGACTGAGATTAAGACCAGGGCACTACACATAAGACGAAAATGATAGTTGATTGTTTGCATGTATCAGCTATATATTAGTCATTTAAAAAGTAGCACTAATCTAGGCCTTTTTGGTTAAAGCGAGCCTTACTAGATTTCAAATGGAACTAATAAATTCTAACGAGACTTATGCAGATATGCTGAGAAAAAATACGCTGAAAAAAAGGAGTTTTGATAATTGAAATCAATTCGAAAAACTTTTAAAAGCTTCGTACATGAATACCAAATCATTGGAAACACTTATCAACTGTCTAGGAATTGTAATTTGTGGTTTTCGTACCCATTGGTGCTTTGTATTTGTTGATGTAATATCGCCTTTTCAAAATTAGAATAGGACAGAAATGAGCTTCTTTTAATTATGACCCATCTGTTTGATTGTACTTATATATATAGATGAGACCAAACTGAGTTGTTGACAATAAACTTCATGAGAATTGCAACTTGAAAGAAATGTCTGTCATGTTGATTTGCCATAATACATTCATGTAAAAATACACGGACAGTAATCTTATTTACTGGAATGAATCTTGTATATTTTCCTAATTTTCTTTTTCCAAAAATTCAAAATATCATCTTTGATCAATGTTAGAAATTGGTAGTGAGTTGACAGATATCTTATCAAAAGTTAAAATTTTACCCAGTTCAAGGAATACTCAATAAAGAAACTAGATTCAATAGCTTTCGTCATAGGACTTTAAAAATAGTTATAATAACGTGAGAATAAGTGCCTTGAAAAATAAATAAATGTAACTATAAAGTCAGTCTAATGTATGGTTTATGATTGTTCGTGACTTTATGTCATAATAGTAAAAAATCTATAGAGAGATTGAAATAAATATAAGAACAATCTATCATTTGCAAGAAGTCTAAGGGTAGCTCAAATTTAGTTGAAGTTAGAAATCAACATAAATATGAGTAGGCTGAAATTCAAATCTTACTTTTAGCCGTGGAGCTGCCGCTACGATCGAAGACAAGCCGCCGTTCACGTTTCAGTGTTTCTACTGACTGCTGCTGTTGTAATGATGCCGACTCTGATATTGCTTCACGGCATTGCTTTCTAACAGAAGATATAAATGACTATATGATATAGAGTCTAGAAAAATACAGACATTGATATCTTGCCGGTAGATTTTAGCTGTTGTTGAATCGGTTCTTGTGGTGGCATTGGTGGTGGTGCAGGCACTGATTCTATAAAAGATATAATGAAATAAATTTGATACTAATAGCGATCTTACTTGTAGTCTCACTCTTCTTCTTTTCTTCCTCTTTGTTATCAGTAGTAGACATTCGTATTTGTTCGGCATCCGATTTCGAAATTAAGTCACATAAAGTCGATTCTGTAAAGAGTTTCTCTTCATTTTCTGGAATGAACATTCTAGTGGCTAAATCTTGACTTGCCAAAGAAGGTTCATGTGTGTCTGTAAGCCGAAAAGACTCTGAATAGGGGTAGAAACCACCATCGCCACCGCCGGCTTCACTTTCATCTTCATACTCTACTAATGACTCGTGTGTCAAATCCATGGTTTTCGATTGCAATTCTGTTGCATGTCTCACTAAAATTAATTCCAAGCAGTTGCTATAAAATATTGCTTGTTATACAAGTGACAAATAATCTATTCTCTTTTGATAAAAAATAGACAATACGAAATCAATTACTTTTCTTCGGTGACTACAATTCCTATCATCCGTAAAGTAAATATTACAACAAATATTCTAGTGCTAAATTAAATGTCTACATAAAGCCATTCTCGAAATCTTATATTTAAGAAAAAACAATTCGATACAAGAATAAGTCACATATATGGTTCTTTGGAGAATGAAATACATAATTCTTACAATGAAAAAAGATTTTTTTTTTTCTCGAAACATCTTGGTACTGACTGAATGACATGCAAGTATGAAAAAAATGTTGTTAAAGAATTGACCAGCAGCGTGTGAGTGTGCGTGTAGAACCTGTGTTAATGAATACTCACACCCACACCCTTCATATATGTCAATTTGTAACTGACGAGAAAATACTTTAATCTAGTAAACCAAAATTAGTATCATACTACATTCAGCTAACGGATCTTAGCAAATGGTTGCAAAAGTTTCGCGCTATGAGTTGATCGATGAAGATTGAACTTTCACAAAAACACCTCGTTTTTTAGTCAAAACTACGTGACAATCGTTTGGTTTGGGCCTCACTTTTCCTATATGGCAGGATATGAGGATGAGAAGGATATGAGTAAGGTTCGGCGAGCGGGTGAGTGATATTGCAGTGGTATTGAAGACCATGAAGTAACTTCCACACTACATCTACGTTCAAAACACTTCCTCCAAACCTACAACCTGATGAAAATTAGATTTCGAGAGTTTACTTTTCAAACATTTCTGTCGATGTTCGCTCCTGATAATGACAACTGCATTACTTACTATAGTCCAAATCAGTGGACTCATCCATAGTGTCCAAAAAGCTGAAATCACAGTAGTCGCCTTCAACATCTAATTTCATCGATTTTAACGATAGCTGCGAGGATCGTTTGTCCGGCGCCAACTGCTCCGCTAAAAGTAAATGAAGACTCCAAGTACAGAACATTTCGACTAGAAGCAGAAGCAAATACTTAGGGCAATCCAAAAGTCCTGTCGTCAATACCTTATCTCCACATAGAAATCTTTAAGAAACTTTCTTTCTATATAGTCTGATAGAGAAAAGAATACTCTATTTTTCTATGCTATTTGATCATACTNGCATCGACACGAAGTATCCCATTGGCATCGATATCCATACGAATAGCGATGACGAGTGTTTGAGCAACGAAGTTGCTGGTTAGGTCAGACAGACTAAATTAGCCTAATAACGTCTAGAACAAAGACGGATAGTAAATAATATTTATAGATTTAAAACACTACATACATTGTATTTTGTGAGATTATGTTCACCTTCAAATATACGAATAGTAGCTGTGGTCTGATAGGCATAAGCATTTGTAAATATTGGATAAAGTTCAGTTCGCGTTGGAATAACTGTATTACGACGAATTAGCGTGTGCATCTCACCGTTTATATCTTCGATGCCCAGACCAAGTGGGCACACATCCAGAAGGAGTAGATCACAAATAGGTGCATCGAACATTGAAACATCTTTCATTTGTTTTGGAAAACTAAATTTTGACTTTGTTTCATTTAAAAAAATTCTATCGGTAGAGAATGACGATTAATAATCAATCGTCACGCGCTTTTGTGAAATATTTTAAGGATCACATTTCTACTTGCCTTTTCTTTTTATGAATCGTAGTTTTTGATTGTTCACTTTTACATGTAAACTTTTCCATATTATCGTCATACCGTTGCTCCTAAAAGGTTGGTCGATTTTCAAAAAGAAAATTGCATGTTAATGTACGTACTTTCTGGCACTGATCTCGTTTGTCCATTGATACATAGATTTTGTTAGGGATCTCGTCACATCGTACAGTTTCATTTGGAAAGAAATATGTCGAATCAATTGATAGCATTTCATTCATTGTATCATCATTTGAACTTCGTGGTTCATTGATAGGTACTGGCATGTCACCATGTTTACCATTGAATGACGAGACTTTTGAAGATGATTCTATGGTTGCAGATCGTTTATCAAAATAATTGAAACATTTTTGTAATTCTAACTTACTGACGCTTGGCTTCGGCATTGATGCTGTTGAAGATTGCATGTAGGTGCCACCACTGTGGGATGCAAATGATGCCGCCAGTTTTGACAATGATATTGTTCGATATGATAAATCTGGTGACAGTGGTTTGGGTAAAGAAAGAGGAGCCGATGCAGAAGGATCAACTACATGATCATACGAATCGAATGAAGCTGCCAATTCGATACCTAAAATGTACATAAAATCAGAATGTAGTATGTTTAACGTTAAAAAAATTAAGAGAGAGTTTGTGGACATAGATGTAGATGTACGTAATAGCAAGATTTATCTTCATCCATATCCATCTATAGGATATTATCAATAAGAATACCAATACCACTTATTGGTGACAGTAATAAGAACATAACATTTCCTGAACCTCAATGAGCTTTTTTTTTATTGACTCTGAATTTTAAAAGTCAGTCAAAAATCACTAAAACTTAATAAAACTTATCAAACTCATGAATTCCGATTTCCTTCTCCGAAATAGGTGCAAAACATTCAGAACTCTTGATTGTATAAGAACAATCTATTATTTGTGCAAGAAGTCAAAGTATAGCTCAAATCTAGTTGACGTTCGAAATTGCCATAAACATCAATAGGTTGAAATACAAATTTTACTTGTAAACCATACGTTGACTCATCACTTGAAATCCTAACAGAAAACATCAACAACTACATGACATAGAGTCCGAAAAATACAGACATCGGCATCCACCTACACTTGTGTTGTTTGAACTCTGACATAAATATACAAGCATTTTATTTCATATTACCTTCATTCAGTTGAGAGAATATTCTTTAATAAAAATAACAATCTAACCTCCATCAATATCTGCTTCTCGAAGCATATCATCAAGTTCTTCATCAGTGAGTGTCTCTCCCAGATTTGTCATGACATAACTTTAAAACAAAACCAGATTACGTATATTCGTATGTTAGTTGTTTTTACTTACCGAAACTCAGCAGCTGATATAAATCCACTACCGTCCTTGTCAAAGATGCGGAATACTTCGAGAATTTCTTCTTCCGAATCTGTATCTTTCATTTTACGTGCCATCAGCGTTAAAAATTCAGGAAAATCAATCGTACCATTACCTAAGAATAAACCAAGTACAATTATAATTAATAACTATTTGTTATTTTTATATACGAGAGAAAAAATCGAATGAACCTCAAGAATAAATATATCTCGAGATGTGACTTTGGTTAGAAACGGGTGTCTATGTTCAATTAAAGATAAGAAATTCTTTTCTTTTTAATATAATCAAAAACATAAACCAGATCAAATTTACTATTTAATTGATTAAGACCTTACCATCAGCATCAACTTCATTGATCATATCTTGTAATTCAGCTTCAGTTGGATTTTGACCAAGACTACGCATTACCGTACCTAATTAATATTTAAGCAAATAGTTACATATCTCAAAAACAACAAATGAAGACTTTCGTACCAAATTCTTTTGTTGTAATTGTTCCATCACCATCTTTGTCAAATAGAGAAAAAGCTTCTTTAAATTCAGCTATTTGTTCATCTGTCAATTGATCTGCCTAGAACAAATAATACTATAGGAGTAGCTAAAAGTAGTGACGGCACAGAATAAAACAGTTGTAGAAAACTTTAGGAAATGTTCTGTTTTTAAAAGGTAATAGACAAAACGAAACTCTATTTTCCTATCTTTTTTCCTCCCTCTTCAACCGGTACCATAATAATAAAATTTTGATAGAATCGTTTCATACGTTGTATTAAAAAAAATAAAATATACTGCAAGATGCAGCGTGAAATGTTCTACAATTAATATTAGATCAATTATTTAATAGTTGCACTTTTTGCTTTCGTCTTGAGCAAAATTTTGAGCGCTCAATTTTTACCTCATTGATGGGACAAGAATAAATTTTTCATAATGGAGAATAACCTTGGTTAAAATAATAATTAAGCAAAATATTGAAAGCTAACTTAGCTGGGTAGTGAGGCCTTATTTATGTAAACGCCAAATACAGATCGTTTTTTTTAAATCCGCAATAATAATTAATAATAACCTTGAACTATGCTAGTGCATGCGAGGATTATACTTTTCAAATCCTAATCATATGTAAATTTTGTTATGTAAGTTGAATGATTAAAAAAAAGTATCATCGATGCTTAATTTTAGTTGCTCTCTCCATTGAAGGACGTTTTTATCCACCTAGAGTAAATCTTATAATACAAACTGTACAATATGAATTTTCTTTTTTATTGGCTAAAATAAATAAATGAATTTCATAGATTTGATGAACAAATATTTCCACTTTATTTTAATACATTGTCTTAAAATAAAGTGACAACAAAAATATAGCTTTTATATATGTTTATCAAGGGACGTCGCATAACTAGCACAGCTAAATGATGATTCTTTAGCTTGCTGTATAGGCCATGCAATTATTTTGTTAGTATTTTAGGAATGTAGTTACGAGTGTGTGTGTGAGTATGAGTTCGACTTAAATTCAAATTCACCAACACATCACGCTCACAATCGGCAAGCCTGGTGTGACATAGATCAGTTCTTATCAAAGAACTGTGGGAGCAGATCAGCTCCGATCAAAAGAACTGTCAAATAGCTCTCAAGATTGGAGCTGATATAGAACTAACTGAAATCCAATATCATTCTAATCATCTCCTAATGCTATCGATTATCACAGTTACTGCTATGAATCCTCTCCTAATGCAGGTTTCTCCTCTAAAAGCAAATGCAATCTTGAAGTACGAAACTTTTCGACTAAAAGTCGAAAAAAAATACTCATGCATAACTTTTTGAGTATTTCTCTACGATGACAAAAAAGTATCTTGTTCCTGAGTAAAAACTATGTTACAGTTGTTTTTAAGTACTGCTTATGAAACAAAAAAAACTATGGCTTATCACTTTGAAATTTTGAGAACATCTGATATCTTTACAATTTACAAGTGATTGAATAGAGTTGGATGATTTTCTTCGTCAAGAATTTGTTGTGAAATAAAATGAATAGAATATTTAAAATCAGTATAGAACTAATACATGAAATAATATGTAGATTCTATCAAAGATATGTCTTGATAAAACTTGACTGATATTCTAGTCAAATCTTTCTTTTTGTTTGAAAGTACTTTTTCTATAATATATGACACTTTAAATATTTTGTTTCGAGAAATCATTTCTAACATTTTTGTATCTGTTGTATTTGAAAATAAATTCTTGATGAAAGGAGTCTAAAGATCAAGAAAGTAATTAACTAAAGGTCACAAGTGTTAACTTAAAAATTTACACCTTCTTGTTCAGTTAGACTCCATTGAACATGACATACTTCAGGCGTTATAAATAGTTTTTCAATTCAGTTCAATGTGAAAAACGTCACGATGAGGTTTTCTTACTGGATTTATGATGCTAATAGTTCCACAGACCTTCTATAAACAAGAAATCAATAGATTTCTTTATGCAAGTTAATTTTTTTCTTCTAAAACAAAAATGAGTTGTGTTCTATAGAAATATGCGATGAAATCGCTTCTTTAGAAATACATATCTTATATTTATAACGACCGAAGCTATTCTTTCCTAGTATCGGTATTAATTTCGACTCAACTGGATAAAATGCTTTGGAAATAGTTGTACTGCAAAAGAAAGATTCTTAGAGAAAAACTGGTCTTTCAGTCAGGGTGCAGCTGTGGCTGATGGTTCCTCTTTTATTGGCGCACCTTTATGTTCATGATATCTGTAGTTGGAGGCTGCTTTTCAGGCATTGGTAATAGATTTGCTGTTGCTAGCATTAATGATTCACTAGTAAAATTTGATATTCCACCTAACTGAAAAAGAAATATTCAATTTTTGGCATTATTTTTATATGTAGCATTGAATTGGCGTACCATGGTGGATAATTTTTTTATCTTTTCCATTTGTCCAACTGTTGTTAAATCCTTGGAATCAGCTCTAAGCATACGAACCAAATCTATGAAAATGAAATGTACATATTAGGTTGGAAACGATCGTCACTTTTTTCAACTAAACATATTAGAATATTTCATGATAGGGATGAATAGATTATGTCAATATCGATAATTCAGTTGAAAACAGAATACCTGTAAGCAATCTGCTGAACATCAAAATACTCAGTGTGGAGAAGACTTTTCTTGGATCCATCACAATTCAAAAAATACTTTATTCTATCGTTATGCTTAAATTCTTTTGTTCAAACTATACTATGTTATACAGAGAGGAAACACAAACCTACAACTAAAAGTGTTATATTTTATTCTGTCCCGTCTTAATCGTTTTGATGATACATAATGTGCACCTAATTTTTCATTTTAGTCTTAGTTATAGAATCACTCTCTTTCTCTTATTTAAGGTTACCGAAGTAGAATGATCAAATTCGCTTCTTACCATTGTATTCAGCTAATAGTTCCCTACAAGAGAACGAATACCAAATTTTTTTTTTTAATTTTTCCTTTCTTTCTTTCACTTACAATTCGTCATTTGTGATTATCAAATTGTTCGCCTGACATTGTTGTTGCAATGCTCGACGTTCTTCTTCTGTTGCACTAATCATTTCGATCATTACATCTATTCATTTTTCAAATTTTACATATGTAAATGTTAGTCCTAGATCAATTAACAGACCTTTTCTCATTTTGTCTTCGAGTTCATCTGCTTTATCATACTCATTCAATGAATAACGATATGTGCGTATGATAGTCATCATTATACTAAATTTTGCATCACCACCTGCTCGATAGGAAATTTTTTGACAAAGTTGTTCAAAATCAGCAACTGTTTCTTTTTTGCTCTGAACCGATGCACATTCGAGTGAAATACGTACATCGACTAATTTCTGTTTAATTAAAGTCAAATTTGATAAATCACCATCCCAACAAATGTATGGTAGTAAGTCAACATCACGTTCCAGCATAACTTCAAGTAGATGAACACCTATAACACAAAGTAAATGTCTTAATAGAGATATTGATTGAATTGATTATTGACTACAATACTTTTGTACTGTTCTGTTACTAATCAATCCATGAGTTTACTCATAAAATCTTAACTATATTTACTAACCTGGTTGAAGAGTTTTTATATCCTCTGTAACATTACGTTCTTCGATGGCAACAAAACTAGTATATGTACTAATAACAGAATGTTTGATGCTAAGATCAATCAAATCTCGTTTATTTTGAACTTTGATCAATTCGTTTTCGCTTTCATCTACGTCCAATAGTCCATTATCATAGTCATCAATGATTGCTCGAGTAGTTAAACAATGTAGAATACGTCCTCTAGTCGTTGTCATCGTACTACTAAATACAGTCGTAACAAATTCTTGTCCATCAATAATAGCCGTCAATGTTGCCTTGTGACAATTTTCTATAAATCGATAGACAGTAAGTCGCATTCCATTGAATAAAGATCGAATCATTTTCGGTGCTTGCATATTGAATTTTTGTTTTTTATCCAAACAACCATGCCAATCAATTGATATACTTGTAACACATGGTTGTCGAACTTGTTCGAGAATATTCAATACTTTTTTTTTCCATTTCGATCGATAGTTTGAATCGAATATTGTTGTTAGACCACCTCCATTTGCTCCATTCGCTAACTGTTTCAAAGCATGCTTGTTTGCAACATTACTAACTGAACATGTAAATAAACGATCATGACGCTGAGTTGGTCGTCGTTTTAGTAGAACAAGAATCCAATTGAGATCATGACTATGTCCATCAGTTAGAANCTGTAAATATCTCATTGGAACATACCTTTTTCTCAGATCTGTGGACCATTATGTAAAAACATGATTTTTCAGAAATGCTACATTTTTTCCAGGATTTTCCATTTAAAGTTACAGTCAAGTGTGGTAGATGAACTTGAAATATATGGTTTTGTAGAGAATTTAAAGTTCTATCGAATGCCATATGAAAGAAGTTCTTAGGTATCTTTCGTTTATTTTTATTAGACCATTTTCCATCAACAGGTGCAAACAATACCTGAGAACATTATTTTCAGTCTTTCTCAGTTACTACAAAGGCTTGAGAAAAAATAAATATATTGAAAGATAGCCCATTCAATGCTCTATAAAACTCATATCAAACAATCTCAAATATCAAAAATTTTCTTAACCGGCGGCATCCTTTTAATGTATTTATCTGTTGAACGATAGAAATGGCAAGTTTTTCCATGAGTTCTACTTCCTTTAGATCATAGCAAATTTTGGATGTATGGATGTGGATAGGTGGAAATGAGGATGTTATATTGAGCTCTCACTCACATCCTCAACAAAAATTTGACTCAGATTTTTCCAACAAGATACAACTATTTATCAATTTAGTCGTAAGCCAGGACTAATTAATTGCGTGCCAAGATTTGCACTGAGGAATCTTTCAACTGCTTTTTTCTGACACAGGATTCATGAAAAATATGAGGATGTACGTCTTATGTTTACAATTACACGTACACCCACCCGCATCCTTTAATTCTTTTTTTTTTGTGTTAAAGAATAAACAATATTGAAGTGCTTCAAGATTAGAATAATAAAAGTGTAATGGTAAAATTATTAGAAAGAAGAGATGTCACTCAGGATCACTTTTTAGTTATTGACATGATCAATGCCGATAACTATGCATTGAATAAACATGTCCCATGATGAATTGTTCAATTCTAATTGTTTACAATAGATACCATTACGTTGACTTATTTGTTGATAGAATTCGATCGCTTTGCTAATTTGTTCACTCATATTAGCAGGTAAATGGTTGTAGAGATAAACCTTAGCAACATAGAGAGAGTAGGAAGTAAATTGAAAAGATCGGAAAAAATCAATTCACTTTGATTTGTTCGATGTTAAATAAAAATTGACACGTATTTTGTTGTAAATCTTGTATTTGAAGAACGAGCCAAAGAAGAATGACACCTGTACCGATTAAACGAACAATTTCGTTTTGTATGTTCAAAGCTACGAAAATTAAAGTTCATGGCCCTGTAATAAATCATACGATCTTACCCAGCGAGTTAAAACCTTGTTCGCGTAAATATTGTTCTAGACCATTGAAAATATCAGCATTGACATGAAGTATATCAGCTAAATCTTTATTCAACGTAAATGAACCGTCCTATATTCGAATCAAATGCAAAACAATGAATCGATAATAAACTTTGAAAATGATATTACCTCGGATTGAAGTTTGATGAGCTCTTCAATCATTGTTCTTGAAGATCGAACATTTTTCAGTTTAATGAGAAGGGGAGCACCAGTTGTTTGACCTGAATTCATATACTATTGCAGTATATCTTTCAAACAACAACAAAGGACAAATTACCGAATGAGGTAACAAATTCAGCTGAAAAGTTACGTGTAACAGGTGTAATTTGACCATCGAGCTAAGAAAAGACAGAAAAAGTGAAAAAACGAACTATGAACAGATGACATAGTACGAACTAAGTATAATGGATCATTGGATTTTCGATCATAAACTACAAAAGAACAATAATTGAATATCATTTATCCTTTTTTCACACTAACCAGATTTAGCTGCAAAATTTGTATCACTTTCTACATAGGTAATATGTCGCTCAATATCATCTTTGCTCAATCCTAGATAAATATAAATTGCATTTAATGATGATATGAAACATCTAAATAATTGTCGAACTTTGCTGATCGGACCCAAGAGTAAATGAAGCTCTCACGCCCGAACGCGCTTCTTCAGCATCGACACGAAGTATCCCATTAGCATCGATGTCCATACGAATAGCTATTTCGAGTGTCTGAGGAGCGAAGTTACTTGTTAGACCAGAAAGACTAAACTCGCCCAATAATATCTACAATAGAGAAGGCTAGAAAATAAAATTTATGAAGTTAGAACACTACGTACATTGTATTTTGTGAGATTATGTTCACCTTCAAATATGCGAATGGTAGCTGTTGTCTGATAGGCATAAGCATTTGTGAATATTGGATAAAGTTCAGTTCGCGTTGGAATAGCTGTATTACGACGAATGAGTGTATGCATATTACCGTGAATATCTTCGATACCCAGACCAAGTGGGCAGATATCAAGGAGCAGTAGATCGCAGGAAGATGTATCGGACGTTGAAACATCTTTCATCCTTTTTCGAGAACTAGATTTTGATTTTATTCTCATTTAAAAAATTCTATCGATAGGCAATGACGATTAATAATTAATCGTTGCATGCCTTTGTGAAATATTTTAAGACTCACATTTCTACTTGTCTTGTCTTTTCAGGCATCAGGAATTTTGATTCTATACTTTCAGATGTGAAGTTTAATATATCATCATCATTCCGTTCCTCCTAAAATTGGATGACGTTTCCGAAAAAAATTGCATGTTAATGTACGTACTTTGCCGTATCGAACTGATTTTTTCGTTGACATATCCATTTTGTTGCGGCACATCTCATCACATCGTACATCTTGATCTGTAGAGAACAATGTAGAATCCATTGATAGTATTTCATCCAGTGTAGCATCGTTTGAGCTTCGTGGTTCACCCGCAGCAACCCGTATGTTACCATGTTTTTTACCACCAAGTGACGAGACTTGTGAAGGTGTTTCTATGTTCACAGATCGTTAATCAAAATAACCGAGAAATGCGTATGATTCTAACTTACTAACGCTTGGCTTCGGTTTTGATGCTATTGGAGATTGCAAACAGCTGCCACCACTGCGGGATGCAAATGATGCGGCTTCTTTTGACAGTGATATTGTTCGATATGATTTGTCTGTTGACAGTGGTTCGGGAAAAGAAAGAAGACCCCATGCAGAAGTATCAACTAAACCGGTATACCAGTCGAATTGCGCTCCCAGTTCGATACCTAAAATGGACATCACATCAGAACGTAGCATGCTTGACTATCGAAAATAACGATTTGTTATACCAATACTATCAATAAAAATATGAATACCACTTACCAGTGACAGTAATGGGAACATAACATTTCTAACTTTCAATTACTTTTCCTGAACTCCAGTGAGTCTCAGTGACTCTGAATTTAAAAAGTCAGCCAAAAATCACTAAAACTCAATCAAGCTCACTAGACTCACTCAAATTTAATCAAATTCACCAAACTCATAAATTGCTGTTTCCTTCTCAGAAATAAATGTAAAACATTCGAAACTCTTGATCGTATAAGAACAACCTATTATTTGCGCAAGAGGTCTAAGTATGGCTCAAATCAAGTCGAAGTTAGAAATTACCATAAACATTAATAGGCCGAAATTCAGATCTTACTTGTAGTCGTGGGAGCATAGATACAAGACGATGATGCTGCAGCTTCAGATATTTTTACTGATGGCTGATTGCTTGGTAATGTCAAACCTGACGTTGGTTTACCACTTGGCATCCTAACAGAAAACATCAATGACTACATGACACAGAGTCCAGAAAATACAGACATTGGCATGTTGACGTCAGAATTTGGTTGTTGTTGAGGTGGTTCTAATGATGGCCCTGATGGTAGTGCAGGCACTGATCCTATAACGGGCATAATGAAATGAACTTGATGGTAATAGCGATCTTACCTATATCTTCACTCTTCTTCTTTCCTTTCAATTTGTTACCAACAGTAGACATTGGCATTTGTTGACCTTCTGATTTCGAAAGTAAATAAAGAAAATTCGATTCTGTCAAGCGTTCCTTTCCATTACCTAGGATGGTCTTCGAAGTAGGCAAATCATGACTCCTCGACAAGGCTCCACGAGTGTCTGTAAACCGAAGCGAAGATGAATCACTATCGAAACTACTGCCACCGTCAGCACCATTGCCCTTGTCATCGTATGAATCACCCTTTTCATATTCCTCTAATGACTCTTGTTTCGAACCACTTATTTTCGATCGCAATTCTGATAGTTGACTTGCTAAAAATAATCCCCAATAGTAGCTACAAAATACTGTTGTCTAGAGAAGTGACGAATAAGCTATTCATTTTGATTAAAAAAAAAACAGTTACACCAAATTAATTACTCTTCTTCGCTGACTACGACTGCGATAAACCATAAAACATCACAACAAATATTTCAGTACTAAATTAAATGTCTACATCATGTTAATCTACAAATCTCATATGTCAAAAAACAATTCGATATAAGAATAATCCATATATACCTCTGGAAAAAATAATATATCATCACGATATTTGTAAAAGCATAATAACATATTCTGAAAGCGCTCGAAATTTTCTATCTAATGTATTAGTTTGCACTGATGGATTAGAAAATATATCAACTGCTATGAAGACACCCTCATCATGAGATTTCCATGGACAGCGTTTGTAGTTGAGGGTGATGACTAACTCTTCTGAACTATAGCTTTCTTTTGGTACAGTGAAAATGTATTATATACTATCAATAGATAAATCCACTGATTTAAATAAATCCTTGTATATCTAACCAACGCTGTCGATAAAGAGAAATGAAGTAGAACTTTTCAAGTTGTTCCATCCTTTCCTCTACTGACATATTGAGGAGACTAGTGCTCTAGTCGTATGATTATTTTATCCGTGAGTCTTTTAGAACAATTATGGGCGGTAAGGTAAAGGATTAGAAATCGCAGTTTTATAGTGGCAATCGGAATATCAACGTATTATTTATTCAAAGATGTGTTTATTAAAATGGACTATGTACCTAATAATCACTTGAAATTGATTATATTAAATATTACGCGTTAGGATTATGTTTACTTATGCCACATGAATAAATTCACTAAAATTGCTATCTATGTAATTGTAGTAGAGTCAATTATCAAAAGTTCATAAGCAATTTTCAAGAAAGTATTTTATTAATCGATCTGACTTTCAAAATTCTAATTATTTTTGATACAGATTTCACGACGACACAAATATCTACTACTCTGTTATACATTACTATTCTAAACCATTTCATGAAAAATACTGCTCGATGCAATTTTCTTCACCTTTCAATATAAGTAAAGATAATTGCGAATTTAGTATTTCCTTCATAATAATGACAAGTAACGCTCGTCGCTACGACTCGCTCGACCCTCGACTGAAGGTTTGTGTATCCAAATGTTAGGTTGTCTTGTGAACACAATTAGTAACAAGTGCCCTCCTAAATATGCCACTGAATACATGCAATCCGTGTATTGTCTAATTCGAGTACGTATATAAATGAACCTCTGGTTGCAACAGTCACTTCGAAAATAAATAGAAAAAAACCACGAATAAGCAGCGAACTGTGTTCAAAGCCAAAGCGAAAGATAAAATTAATCTGAATTATATTTTATAATTCAGATACGGTCATCTTGTTAGATAACCAAAAAGTCAAAGATAAATTTTATCACAATTATAAATTATAATTTCGGCAGGGAATATGCTATGAGTGAAATGAAAAAGGTCAGAGATACGACTTGGTTTTAATTTCATTACGAGACAGGTAATTACACGACCTTCCTCAAAAGAAATTCATTTCATAAAAACATAGTGAGTTTTCTTAAGTGGAAATAAGTTTCCAAAAACGAAATCGATTTTTGAATATTCAATAATGGAATAAAAAATTGTTCTCATTAATTAATACAGTTTTGGTCTATAAAACACAGTTTTAACCAAAGAAAGTGGAAACAATCGTTTTGCACGTTCGTGCCAGGAAAGGCATCACACCGCATCCCTCTCCGTGAGAGTCATCTGACCGATTTCATCTCATATCAGTCTCGATTCGCATGATTCTAACGAGGGAATCACCCGAGGTTTCACGCTTGGTTTGAAATCATTCATATCTCATTTGATAGAGTATATAGAGTTAGTAAAAGGCCCAAAATGGTTCTGTCCATGGCTCTTCCTTCAAAAGTTACGATCCTTTTACTGCATTTTTGATCCATTCCTAGATATTTACTGAAAAAATCAAATTAAGCAATTTCGATCTAAAACTTTGCCCATAGATAGGTCTAAGAACCCTTAGAATACCCTGAAAGCTTCAGATCGAAATTGCTTAATTTGATTTTTTCAGTAAATATCTAGGAATGGGTCAAAAATGCAGTAAAAGGCTCATACCTTTTGAAGGAAGAGATATGGATAGAAACTCTTTTGGGCTTTTTACTACCTCTATATACTCTATCAAATGAGATATAAATGAATTCAAACGAAGCGTGAAACCTCGGGCGGTTCTCAGGTTCGAATGGTAAGTATATGGATTATATTCAACTTTTTCTGTTTCGGAGTCATCTGAGAAAACAGTTTTCTGAAAACTAGGGTGTGGGTGTAAGTGTAAATAAGAAGAAATATCACACCCACACCCACACCCTCTTTGTGTGGCCTATTTATTCTGAAATAATGAAAATTTCCGTTGTTCTCTTGCTTGGATTAAGGATCTACTGATTATGGAAAAATAGACTAACTTGATTATGTTTTATAATTCAGATGAAATTTATCTGTGCTTTTCCGTATTTTTATGTGTAATTTTTTTTGAATTTTGACCTATTTTTGAACTGAAATAAGACAGCTAGTCATCGAATTCAATGCAAAATAAATATTTCTTCTTTATTAAATATACACAGTGTTATTCAATTTGCTTCTTATTGGTAGTAGCTCAGAAAAAAAAGAAGAAATCTATTTAACGATTATATAACTCTAATTATATACAGTAGAACAAAAGTTTTTTTCAATTCGATTCGGTTCAACCCTAGTTGAATTTCTCTGGGCTTCGTTTCGGTTCAAAATTTAAAAATCCGAGTCATGGTCATCTCTGGTTCAAACACGTACAGAAGTTTTCCCATGAAAATAGGCAAAGGATATCAATGTGTTTCAGTCAAATATACAATCGCTGAAAAAGATGTCAAAATCGCAGATACTTTAAAGAAAATTTTTTCGATCTATTGCCGCTTTCTAACACAATTTCAGTCGATCCAACTTGATCGAGGGACAATTTTTCTATAGATTTTATCGGTCTGAAGCGCACCTTCGGCGAATTCATCAGAGCAGGTAATCGTTAGTACCCTTTGGGGTGTCCTTCGCGACTAGCGGCTTCCATTCTCAAGTGCAATTTCTCATTGGGAAATCGCTTCATAGAGCTCAGATGCAATTTCGAAAAGCATGAAACGGGCTAAAGTCGGAATGTAGACACTTCTATCATTTCCTTTCTAATAGGCGTCCTCATAGAAAATTAAACGTGATGAACTATATTCATTGTAACGACGAAGAGGCGAAGCATTACACAATAGGTATATTTCTCGTAGAAAAAATATAAGAATTCTCGACACAAATTTTCGAAAAGAGCAGATTTTTTTGTGAACTATATTTAATACCTTTATTTTCTCGATCTTGCTACAAAAACTGCGTTAAAGGGGAATTTTTCATTAACGAAACCCGGATGAAGTGTCCCAAAAGACATGTTAGATTCTATACTGATCTATCCTTAAGCATAGCTGCAGTTGACCTCGGAAATGAGCAGCTAGTCGTTTGTCGCCGTTCCTCCGAGGCGCCACTCCGACTAGCTGCACCCATGTTGAAGTCTGCTTCCACAGTAGCTCATTCTCCTGCATTCACAACCAAACTGATTCGTGTTTCACAACTCAAAACAATTACAGGATTTACAATGGAAGAACCGTCTATAGGAACCTCAAAATAAGCAGGCAAAGGCACATATATGTATAAACAGGATGCATTATGTTCACGTTAATGAAACGTCGCTGTGAAATCCTCGTTGTTTTCTACAAATAACGTTTATTAAAATGCATGATCTCCTCAAAGTCTGGTTGAACGAGGAATGCACCAACAAAATACTGATCGGCTTAAATCCTAGATTCTCACAATTCGATTAGACGACAGGTAAGTTCTCAAAAGTGTTTCAACAACTGAAATCTCCGACAGACGCAATCTTATTGGTTAAAACTCCAACACCGAAAACTCGCAATTAGCTGACACTTCAAGCTGAAAGAATCTGATTGGTGGAAAGCTCCATATCGAAAATCCGTGATTGGCTGAATTTTGAAGCTGAAAAAATCTCACTGGTCTTGAGCTGGATATCAAAAATCCCAGATTGTCTAAGACTGAAAGCTGAAAGAACCTGATTGGTCAAAAGCCCGATATCGAAAATCCCTGATTCACTGAAACTCCAAGCTAAAAGGATCGGATTGGCCGAAAGGCCAATATCGAAAACCCTTGATAAGCTGAAATTCCAACCCAAAAGAAACTGATTGGACAATAACTAGATATTGAAGAAACCTGAGCATTGATCTTTAAGCGGATGTTCTTTTGACCTTGCCACAAACACGCAGACAGACAAAATCATTTTTTTTTCATTTGATCCTACCTTCAGTCGAGCGAATAGCCCTTAAGGACCTAAGAGTACCCCCATATAATAGGACTTGAGGACCCATGGGTACCTCCATATGACAAGACATGAGGACCCATGGGTATATACATAAAACGTATAAGCCCATGTTCTTTGGACCCTGACACAAACACACAAGCCATTTTATTTCATATGACCCTCCCTTCAGTCGAAGGAATATTCTTTAATGAAAATAACAGTCTAACCTCCATCAATATCTGCTTCTCGAATCATTTCATCAACTTCTTCATCAGTGAGTTTCTCACCCAAATTTGTCATGACATAACTTTAAAAAAAACAGAATGAATATATTTGTATGTTAGATTTTTTCCCTTACCGAAATTCAGCAGCTGATATAAATCCATTACCGTCCTTGTCAAAGACGCGGAATGCTTCACGAATTTCTTCTTCCGAATCAGTATCCTTCATTTTACGTGCCATCATCGTTAAAAATTCAGGAAAATCAATCGTACCATTACCTAACAATACAGCAAATACAACTATTATTAATAACTATTTGTTATTTTTAAATACAAGAGAAAAAATCGAATGATCTTAAGAATAAATATATCTCGAGGTTTGATTTTAATTAGATGTGGGCGTCTATGTTCAATTAAAGGTTAGAAATTCTTTTCTTTCTTATATAATCAAAATATAAACCAAATCAACTTTACTATTTGATTGATTAAAACCTTACCATCGGCATCAACTTCATTGATCATATCTTGCAATTCAGCTTCAGTTGGATTTCGACCGAGACTACGCATCACCGTACCTAATTAATATTTAAATTAATAGATACATATCTAAAGAAAAACAAACGAAGAATTTCGTACCCAATTCTTTTGTTGTAATTGTGCCATCACCATCTTTGTCAAATAGAGAAAAAGCTTCATTAAATTCAGCTATTTGTTCTTCTGTCAATTGATCAGCCTAGAATAAATAATACTTCGGATACCCAAAAGTAGTGGCGGCACAGCAGAAAACTCTTATAGAAGGCTTTAGGAAATTTTCTTTTTTTATAGGAAGATAGAAAAAACGAAACTCTATTTTTCTATGCTATTTCATCCCTATTCTACTGGTACCATAATAATAAAATTTCGATAGGAATTGTTTTTGTTGAAAAGGGTGTGGGTGTGGGTGTGGGTATGGATGTGGATGCTATCTTTTCTTATACCCACACCCACACCCTCAATTTCGACTCAACTGGACGAAGTATTTTGGAGATACTTTTAATGCGAAAGAGAGATCCTTATATGAAAATTTGTCTTTCAGTCAGGGTGTAGCTGTGAATGATGGTCCCTCTTTCACTCACGCACCGTTATCTTCATGTTATCTGTAGTTGGAAGTTGCTTTTCAGGTGTTGGTAATAGGTTTGCTGCTGCTGCTGGCATAAATAATTCATCAGTAAAATCTGGTGCTTCACCTAACTGAAAAAGAAATATTCAATTTCCGGCATTATTCTTATATGCAGCATTGAATTGGCGCACCATGGTGCATAGTTTTCTTATCTTTTCCATTTGTTCAACTGTTGTTAAATCCTTGAAATCAGCTCCAAACATACGAACCAAATCTATGAAAATGAAATATAAATATTGCTTTGGAAACGATCTTCACTTTTTTCGCAAAATATTCAGTGTGATGTTCTTAAATGTTCTACTTAGTATAGGCCAGGCTTTAAAGTTAGACTATATAATTCTTTCAAAACGTCCAAGCAGTTCCATTTAATATCACTTCGCCAAAGCTTTCTAGAATGATTTCCTATTACTGTTAGAGTTTCAAAAATGCAATATAATGGTTGAGAACATGCAATGGTTATTCATTTTCGCTGTCGACCCTAAGTTCAAGTGAATGGATAAAATGTTTACCCTAACATGACAATGAATTTCTACTCCAATGAACTCGTTTTTTTGAATTAAACACATTAGAATATCTCATTATAGTGATGAGTAGATTATATCAATATCGACAATACAGTTGAGAACAGAACACTTTCAGATATCTTATTCCATAAACAATCAGTTAATGAGGGAAGGCCACAAAGTGATAAATCGCTTTTAAATTTTAGTCATACCAATTTGTAGAGCTTGTTGAGTTATTAACTGATATAATAATCATTCGGACCAACAATGCAGCTGTAGAGTAAATTTCTGATAATCTAAGTTTCCACTAACCTGTTCATATCCTATAGGAATTCCATAGGACCACTATAGGATATGAACAGGTTAATGGAAACTTAGATTATCAGAAATTTACTCTATAGCCCCATTGTTAGCCAGAATGATTATTATATCAGTTAATAACTCAACAAGCACTACAAATTGGCATGACCAAAATTTTAAAAGCGATTTATCAGTTCGTGGTCTTCCCGCCTAAATCTGCCGAAGATCAATATGCGCAGTGTGAATATGTTATGCAATTATTAAGATTTTTCTTGGATCCATCATGATTCAAATAATATTTTAATCTATCGTTATACTCAAGTCCTTTGGTTCAAATTATAATATGTTATAGAGAGAGGAAACACAACCCTACGATTAAAAGTTGAATAGAAAAATTATATTTTACTCTGTGCTATCTTAATCGAATTGCTCAGATGCTATAATATGCACAAACCAAAATAATCAGATTCTTTTTGTCTATTACTTTGATAGTCGATAGTGTGTGCCTAATTTTTCATTTTGGTCTAAATTATAGAATCACTTTCTCTCTCTCGTTTAAGTTTTCCGAAGTAAAATGATCAAGTTTCTTTCTTACCATCGTATTCAGCCAATGATTTACTGCAAGAGAACGAATATCAAAATTTTTTTGAATGTTTCTTTCCTTTCTTTCACTTACAAGTCGTCTTTGGTGATTATCAAATTGTTCGCCAGACATTGTTGCTGCAATGCTTGTCGTTCTTCTGCTGTTGCACTAATCATTTCGGTCAGTATATCTATTCATTTTTCAAAATCAATAAATGTATATTTTGGTTCTAGTTCAATTAACATACCGTTTCGCATTTTGTCTTCGAGTTCATCTGCTTTATTGTATTCATTCAATGAATAACGATATGTGTGTATGATAGTCATCATTGTACCAAATTTTGCATCACCACCTGCTCGGTAGGAAATTTTTTGACAAAGTTTTTCAATATCAGCAACTGTTTCTTTTTTGTCCTGAATCGATGCACATTGGAGTGAAATACGCGCATCGGCTAATTGCTGTTTGATCAAAGTCAAATTTGATGCATCACCATCCCATCCCATGTATGGTAGTAAGTCAGCATCGCGTTCCAGCATAACTTCAAGCAGACGAACACCTATAACAGAAAGTACATGTTTCAATAGTAATTTAGATTGCATGACAAAACTATATCGATTATTGGCTACAACTCGAATGTAGATAGTTCAATTTCGGTGGTATTAAGATTTTTGATCCATAGCATAAGAAGCATGTAGATAAACATTTACTTTTGTGCTGTTCTGTCACTAATCAACCCATGAGTTTACTCATAAAGTCTCAACTTTTTTTTACTAACCTGGTTGAAGAGTTTTTATATCCGTTTTGACATTACGTTCTTCGATGGCAACAAAACTAGTATATGCACTGACAACAGAATGTTTGATGCTGAGATCGATGAGATCTCGTTTATGTTGAACTTTAATCAATTCGTTTTCGCTCTCATCTACATTCAATAGCCCATTGTCATAATCATCGATGATCGCTCGAGTGGTTAAACAGTGTAGAATACGTCCTCTGGTCGTTGTCATCGTACTACTAAATACAGTCGTAACAAATTCTTGTCCATCAATAGTAGCCGTCAATGTTGCCTTGTGACAATTTTCTATGAATCGATAAACAGTAAGTCGCATTCCATTGAACAAGGATCGAATCATTTTCGGTGCTTGCATATTGAATTTTTGCTCTTCATTCAAACAACCATACCAATCGATTGATATACTTGTAACGCATGGTTGTCGAACCTGTTCGAGAATGTTTAACACTTTTGTTTTCCATTTCGATCGATAGTTCGAATCGAATATTGTTGTTAGACCGCCTCCATTTGCTCCATTAGCTAACTGTTTCAAACCATGTTTGTTTGCAACATTACCAATTGAACATGTAAATAAACGATCATGACGCATAGTTGGTCGATGTTTGAGTAGAGCAAGAATCGAATTGAGATCGTGAATATGTCCATCGGATAGAAGAATGAATTGACGACCAAATTTCGATGATAATGACGATGGTAATAGTGAATAACGATGAAGAACAGCAAATAGATCCGTATTACCACGATGGACAAGTGAATACTAGAATATGTGAACACGTATATTTTAATAGGAAAATCAGATTTAAAAGATAAACTACTAACCAGAACAAAGTGTTTGGCTTTATCAAGATTTTCTTTTGTAGTTGGTGCTGGTATAGGAAAACATTCATCATTATCTAAATAGTTCCAATTTGAATAGTAAAATAAATGTAGAAACATCGGATGTAAATCCGAGGTTTATTTGCACTTCAAAAAGTAACTAGACTGGCTATTATGACGCATTCGTCTAGACTGACCATTGTGTCTCAATATCTAAATCAACAAAGATCGACAAGATCTACATATGCGAGTGCTATTCTTACACTTCATCGACTCATAAGGTAGTAGTCATCAGTTTCAGGTGAAATAAGTATCTTTGCAATAGGTGACTTAGTCGTGTTGTTTTCTAATGTTTTGTATACCATTTTGTAGCCCGTGAAATTCTCTATCGAATGGTATATAACACGTAGCGTGGATCAAGGCGATCCACTAGATCCTTTGACTGTACAAAATCTTCTACCATTTAGGTGCCTGTTTCTCAACCCCAGAAACTAAGCTGAAGCAGTTTACCCTTCTGTGTGTCTTAATATACTCCACTATAACATTTCAATTGGCTTTCATAACATAGCACTAGAGGACCTAAAAGTACCTCTCAATAACCTGGAGAAGTCAATATTCGCATAGAAAAACACAGGAAATAATGACATTTTTTAGTATATAACTCAGCAATCTCTTGACGAATCATTATCATCTTCGAACTCGGCCGAAAGATTGATGAGACAATTCTATGTGCATAATTTCATCACAATCGGATGATATTTTGAAGGAGTTATCGTGTAAACGGCCGAATGGACACACTGACCGATTCTATAGTGTGCTCACTTTTTGAGTACACAATAACGCTGTAGAATATCATCTTATTACCTGATCCAAAAGTAATTACATTAAAATATGTATTCTCATC